GAATGGCATGACCCATCCTCCCTTATACTGCTGGAGCTGATGCTTTCTTGCCAAGCTTATAGAACAGCATACTTTATTAAAAATGCTGTCTGATAGCAGAAATAGTCTTATTGTTGCAGTCACAAGAAGTTGCAAGGCACTTATCCGAGCTCTGTGTCCTCTTTCTTTCTCAGCTGAAGTAGCACTTCTAGCATATATCTGGCAAGTCTGTCCATCAGGGACACAAATGGTGTATTTCTATTCTTTTCTGTAAGAGAGATGACAACTATTGTAATTCATAATAGATTTTCACTGGCAACTAATCTCATTTTTTCATCATAGTCATCTGAACCTGTGATACCTAACCCATTCTCTTTTAAAAATTCAACAAGTGACTTTTCCCCTGCAGAGAAAGAAGGGTAAAAATGGATGTAAGGCGTGGTAAAGGTGAGGAGGTAGGAGCACAGAAGGTAAACTGCCAGAATCCTGCAGGTGTCTCCTCAGGGATCTGTTTGCCCAGCCAAGTGAATCCAAAAGTTGATCCTGGTTTTACTGGTGCAATGTATTGTAACAAAACACTTGAGAAGACTACAAATGTGAGGAATGCCCTGCGTGTTGTCCAGCTTCTCTGTACCATGTGTCATGGCAACAATGCTGCCAAAACTGACTTTTAAAGAATCACCCTTTGACAGCTTTGTCTCCCAACAAATGTGTAGCTGTCATTTCACAGGAATTCCTCCTTCTCTGCAGGATGCAAAATGTCAGCTGAGGAAATGCCCAGATCATTATCCCACAGCAGACAAAACAAATATTGTGTTTCTCCTGAACCAGCTATACATAGAAATAATTGGACCCTGTTAAGACTGAGATAGCTCAGGTTCAACTCAGGCAAGAGAAAATGCTGTTCCCCAAAAGTATTTCTCTACAGCCTGGCAGATGCCCTGTTGATTTATGGCATCCAGAAGAAGTTGGTTCTCCTCTTCTAGAAGTGATCTGTTACATAAAGAATAAACAGTGAACGAAATCTCTTCGGGATTTGGAAAATGTAAAAACACTTCAGAGCTTGTCCATGCAGTGGGGTGAAGTGACATCTGTAGCTCCTCTAAACAAGGAGCCCAGACACTTATTTAGTAAAAACATTGCTTCACTGAATCACTGTGGTTTTTTACTTTACAGTGCAAGAGCAGAAATAGAAAACTTCTGACAACTATCTGGACAAAAACCCCCTTGAGTCACTGTTTGTGTATGTAAAGCATGACTAAAGTAATATTTTTGTCTTCTATGGCTGTGAGTAAGACCTGATCTTGTATGCCTTTTAAGAGAATGACCCATTGATCATAATGGGAGCTTTTCCAGCAGAGTAGTGTTTGTTTCTATTAATAATGGCATTTAGCTGTGCAGTAGTTGGATAGTTTTCTAGCGAGCTGAAGAAATCACTTAAAGGTGTATTCCTTTTCAAAAGTGAAATCAGTGCCTCTCCATCTTTCTTGGATGAATTCCCATTGTCATAGTGGGACGTGCTGGTGTCTGAGTGATTCAGTTACTGTCTTGGCTTGGCTTTTCACTCTCTGGAGTTTCAATTAGCATTTCATTAATGGTTTGAGAGATGTCCATGAAGGCTTTAAAGACAGTGGTGGTGTTCCAGCATCTGCAAGTGATGGGAAATGTTTTCCAACTTTCCAGCCGCCCAGCATGCCTGAGCAATCAGCCCACGTGGTATGTGTTTGTATTCAGCAGTGATCCAAATTCTCCTTTGTCATGGTCACACGAACTGTTCAACCACAGTGACCGTCTCTGACCTTCAGTCACCCAGTGGTACATGTAAAGGTTGCTCATTTGCTACTGGAGACATTAGACTCATCGTTATGTAGCTGATTTCACTAACATAATAGTTTTCAGTGTAAAAATAATAATAATTGAACCATGAGACTGGATGGGCCCTCTCCTTATCCATGCTCCTTTCTCATCTCTGGCTTTCTGCTCCTAGCAGATATTTCTTCTGGTATGGGGTTCACATTTTTCCCAGGCAATCTTTTTCTCTTCTTTTTATTGTCAGAAAGTTTTCTGTACTTTTTCTATATATATATGGGTATCTCGATATATTTGGATATTTAAATCTTGCTTGCCTTCTACCTTGTGGAAATTACTCCCTTCATCCTTGTGGCAGTTTTTTACATAGCTGCAGATTGCTCTTAAGTTGAGGCTGTGGAAAAAAAATAAAAATATTATCGATATGCTGCTATTTATTTTGTCAAATGGATAAAATTTCACTCTGTGTATCAATACTTTTCCATCATAACTTTAAAACCATGTCTCCTGTTTCAATATGTATTCCTTTCTCTTGAAAGCGAACATGCTGTTCACATATGCACCCTAAAATACATTTTGCAAAGCAATTTTCTTCTGTCACTGCCAGCAGATGACCCTGTGCGGTGTCAGTCACAAAACACCTGGGTTTGCATCCTTTTCTGTATGAAGCATGTTCTTCATTCTAAATACAGTTTTTGCGATACTGCTTAAGTGTATTTTATTACAAGCATAGTTTTCATTGTTCTGCATGAATTCCATAGTGTGGCACAGCTTTTTTCTTTTCTGGGGGGCAGCTTTGCTCTTTTACACTAGGCTCTCCATCAGGACATAATTACAGAAAAATACTGGATACTGAGCAAGGTAGACAATATTTAATGTTGATGCCTGTATCTGATCCATTTTGTATTACTGCATATGATGAATTTTAACATCAATCATATAAGGGTGTGTGAACACATTCTATTTTGTAATGTTAGTTTGTGAGTAAACTGATATTTTGATAATCTTATTATAAATATGTACAATTTTGCTCAGGGTGCATCTGTTCCTAGATTGTTAATGATGCATTTCTGTTCACCATAAATAATTGAACAATACTCAGAATCAGCAAACAGATCTTAATTGGTATTTAAACTGCACCGGTTTATGCATTTATGGGAATACAGATGACTCTTTTTACTGTAGTCGTTAGTTCTGAGACCTTGTCAAAACAGCTAATGACGTGTATTTCCAAAACACATTGTGCTTGTAGCATACCACTGCCTCGTAACACTGCACATCATAAAGAGATACTCCTTCCTCCAGCCTTGTCTCCCATAAAGGTATTGGGAAGCTGTCAGAAGTGATACCTGACCAGCACCCAGGGAGCAGCCGTGTCCATCTCAGCTCAGCTTGGTGACAATGCCTCTGGGGAAAGCCTCACTGTCCTCGTATATCATGTGCAGATGAGATGACTGTGTAGCATCACCTCATGTCCTGTAATTTCAGTGAGATCTAAAAATTGTCATCGCTTACAAATTCATAAGGTGATTGTGGGTGTCAAAAAAATCTGTATTGACTATAACTTTCCAGCCCATTGGCTGCAAGAAAACTGTTTTCAATACCTTTTCTGATAGGAACCCTGGCAAGTTTTTAAATTATTGTATAGTAGCCCTTCATCTTCTGGCTAAAAGTCACATTAACAAAAAGAAAACCAAAGTGTGCCAATGGCCATATCCCAAATATGTAACAAGTACAAATAAGCTTTAAAGATGGGGGAAGGATTATACATTATACCAGAGACCACTTGTAGTAGTTTTTCAAGAATTTGAAATGGTAGCAACTCAATTATCTGTCCATTTGTTTAGGGAGAGTAATATTTGCACATTTTTCAGTGAATGACAGTTATTCAAATAATTACGCCTATGCACATAAAGTAAAGGCAGCCTTTACAGGATATTTGGAGAACGTGTGGAAAATGCAGATGAAAATCTAGTCATCTGCCATTTTAGAAACACACTTTGGTATTTTCTTTGTGCTATTCATTCACCATATTCCCAAATGCTGAACATCTGCAGATATCTGTGACAGTATGGCCAAGGCAGCTGCCTGGGTTTTGTCTGGGCACTGAACGGGGGACATAGAGCTGTTTGCTAGTGGAGTCCCCTCCATGACCAGAGGGACACTTGAAAAAGCCTTGCCAGTAAAAGAGCTGGAAGGAAAATTCATATTCCTCCTCTCTTCCTGTCTGCTCTACTGAGGACAGACTTTGGAGGTACCTGGGAAGTTTGGGAGCAGGAGCAGCACAGCTGAGGGCTGGTGCTGTGGATGTTGCCAGTGGTGCAAGGTCTGGCCCAAAGCCTCATTCACCTGCTGCCACAGGTGTGCTCTGGAAAGGCCTGGTCCTCCCCTGGGATAGTCTGCAGTCAGGGTAAAACTTTGGAAAAATGAAACCAGAGGAAGTAAGGGTTTGTTTTAGAGGAAGGTGTGGAAAATGCTCATGGTTTCAGTCTCTGAGGCAGAGGTGGAGCAGAACGCTGGTGTCCCTCCTACCCCACAGAGGTGGAAACCTTGACAGTGTAAAGGAGTGGGAGAAGGTGGACATGCTCTGCTGGTGAGTGGCCCCATAGAAAGCTACGGTGAGAGATTAGGATGGGCTTATTTCCTTTGGATTTGTATTTGGAACTGCCGTTTGTCATAGGATAGTCTTCCTTTAGCCACCCGGATGACCACCTGGCCTCTGGCTCTGCCAAAAGGAAGGGGCAGGCTGCGGCAAAGGGCTCGCAGGTAGCCAGGCCAGCGCGTCCTCGAGCAGGAGGGTCAGCAACCTTCCCGCTGCCCACGTCAGCTGGGATGGATGTAGGAACGTTGCGGGACGCCGGGGTTTGGACGCTGTCAGCGCAGTTGTGCCTTTGCACAGACCCACCGAAACCGCGAGGTGACACGCCGCTGCCCCGGGCGGTGCCGCGGAGCCGGCCCCCCGCGCCGCTCCGAGCCCGGGAGGGGCGGGCGCGGCCCCGCCCGCACAGGTACCGCGGAGGGCGGCCAATGGCGCGGCCCGGCCGCCGCCGCCAGCCAATGGGGGCGCGCGCGGCGGCGGCCCCATGGAAATGTGCCTGGTGGGGAGCCAATGGGGCGCGGCCGGGCCGCGGGCGGCGCTTCCCCCGCTGCCAGGGCCGGCGGCGCCCGGGCCGCCCGAACCGCTCCCCGCGCCCCAACCGCCGCCGCTCCCGCCGAGCAGCATGGCCGGGCTGGGCGGCGGCCCCGCCGCCTTCGGCCGCTGCACGCACGCCGTGGTGCGGGCGCTGCCCGAGTCGCTCTGCCGGCAAGCGCTGCGCAGGTCGGCGGGGCCCGAGGTGGACTTCGCCCGCGCGGAGCGGGAGCACCAGCTGTACGTGGGTGTGCTGCGGGGCAAGCTGGGGCTGCAGGTGCTGGAGCTGCCGGCCGACGAGAGCCTCCCCGACTGCGTCTTCGTGGAGGATGTGGCCGTGGTCTGCGAGGAGACGGCGCTCCTGACCCGCCCGGGCGCGCCCAGCCGCAGGAAGGAGGTGCGATGCGGTGCGGTGCGGTGCGGTGCGGAGCGGTGCGGTGCGGGCCGGGGAGCGATGTCCGCTGCCGCGCAGGTGGGCTCGGGGCGGCCGCGCCGTCGGGCGTGTCCCCGGGCCCGCCCCGAGCCCCGGCGGGAGCGGCGGGAGGCGGCGGTGCGGGCGGCGGGGATCGCGCACGGAGCAGCAGCGCTGCTCGGCGGGACCGGCCGCGGGCAGCGGCTCCAGCTCCGCATCCCGCTGCCGCCAGCCGAGACCCGTGCGGCGGAGCCCGGCGGCTCTGAGGCTACCGGGGAGCAGTGTGCTGCTTCTGAAGACAAGTGGACAGTGTAAACTATGACTCATCCTTTCTGGGGCGTACAGGCTCCCGCTCCCTGCCAGCTTGCCCGGCCCGGTCCGGCGGGATGGGTCGCCAGCCGATTGAGCGGGTTTCTGTCTGCGGTGCAGCGATGCTCCATGCAGACCCCATTTTCGTAACATGTTCAACATGAGCTCAGCCCCAGGCAGTGCATCACTGGTATCTGTGGTAATTGTACCCACTGGCCTGTGTGCAAGAGCTGGTGTGTGTTTTGGTGTTCTCAGTGTTAGTCTGAATGCCCTTGAACCTGATCTCACTTTCCCTGTGCAGCCACTGCAGGCCCTGTGGGCTGGAGGAGTGTTGATGTAAGGGGGATGCAGGCCGACTCATTTGAGAGAGGTGTGAAGAATGCACACCCACAGGAGCTTTACTTTAGATACTCTTAATACTTTTGTAACATGCTCAGTCCATTCATAAACTAGTTCATCAGGCAGTGAAGTACCACCCAGTTATCTCCTCAACGAGCTGTGAGTAGCAAATTAAACAAACCTCACCCTGTTTGAAGCTGCAAAATGAGTACAGCGACAGCCTGCCTTCCTGTGAGAATCTTTTGACATAACTCGTCTTGTCTGTTTCGGTTCCCATCCTTGGTACCATAGTGCATCCTGTGGTCCACAGGCATGTACTGTTGTGCCTGTGGGACAGGCCAGTAGCTGTAGTATAGAAGTAGCTCCTCTTGGCCATTGAGTGCAATGGATGAGATGCTCCACTTGGGTGGGGTTTTTTTATATAGTGCCTTTCTTTTATAAATTACAAAGTTTCCTTGAATTTTCCCAGGAGTGTAACAGTCTGAGATACTGCACACATCTTGTACACATACATTCCTTGTGGGTATCCATGTGTATTTACTCTTTGTAACACATCTGAATGCTCTTAAGAGTGACAGCATCAGAGTACAGTGTTTGCCACATGCTACTCTAAAAAGCAGCTGTTTTTTAGCCAGAGTCCCAATGAGTTTTCACTGGTACTTCTGTGACTCCTGCTGCCATTTGTACAATTTCTCATTTAGGAGAACAGGCTTACTTCTTTCCATGGTGACTTGTCCGGGCAGAGTCATGAAACAAGAGGAGAGACAGAGCTCTAAAGCATAATTTGAACCTTATTAGTGTTCTTGAATGATGGAGCAATCCCTTCCTTGAGTTTTCTGTGAAGTAAAACAGAAAAAAAAATTGAACAAATATCCTTTTAAAGCTATAACAACACGTGGCACTGTAGTGTGCTCGTCTGAACATTTAACTCTTATTTACAACAATTCTTCCTCCTGGGAACATCATTACAGTAGTGCCTCATGGAAAGGGGGAGAAGATTTCTGCAGGATGATGCCTGCCTGTTCCTGGTTCCTCTCCCCTCCAAGGCATCCGCCCTGTTCCCAGCATGGTGACTGTCAGTTGTGTTTAGCTGGTATGTCTGCTTTGTTTGAGGAGTAGTAGTGTGCCATCTTGAAAACCGTGAGATGGTCAAGGCTTTAGAAAGCAGGAGTGTATACATGTCTACTTTGCCCAGAGCTCTGCAAGCTGTGGTGGAGGGCTTGGCATGTGCCTTGGGCATCTTGGCTTTCATAAAGAGCCCCTGAGAAAAAGCTGTTTGCTGCAGCTGCATGAGAGAGTGTTTCCTATTGTAGTCAGATTCTCTACTCTTGCTGCCTCCATCGCTGGTTCTGGAGGGACCAGGCACCAAGGTGTGGGGCCACTCTGAGCTGATGGAGCCCAGCACCTGCTCCTGACCCTCCTGTTAATCCCAGTGAGTGGCTGTCAGCAGTCTCCTAAAGTATTTTTCTGAGGTTTATATTCAGTCTCTGAATTCTGCATTGAAATAGTTGTTGGAGTCTGGTGGCAAGTGATGTTGCTGTAGGGCCTGTCCTACCATCTGCCCTGTTAAATGCCTTAATTAGTGACCTGGAGGAGGTAGTGGCATCTCTATTGAGCTGTCAATGGCCTCAAACTGAGGCGAGGGTGAGAGGTGATACCATTGAGGTCTGGGCTGCTGTTCAGAGGGGCCTCGCCAGGCTGAAGGAAGGGGCTGATCCACGGGGACCTCATGGTTGAACAGGGACAAATGCAAAGTCCTGCCCCAGGAAAGGAAGGATCTGACCAAGCCAGCTGAGGTAAACCTGGTGTGAAAATGAACCAAGGCTATTGTAGTGCATTGTCACTCCTACTGGGTGACGAAAAGGGAAAGGGGTGGATGAAATCTAAGTACAGCACCAGTTTCTGAAAGTGCAATCTCTTATTCTTTTTATGTAATGTAAATGCAAACTCATGAATACTTTAGCAGTACAGTTGGCGTATGCTTGACTTAACCCAGTAAAGCCCAACTCCTGAATATGCACTCCTGACCTGAGCCTCCCTGTAAGGCAGGACTCAGCTGGACTTGTCTTACTGATCTCTGAAGTGCTAGGTGGATTTTTGTACAGAGCAGCCAGGAGCAGTGGAGGAAGGAAGGGATGAGGGAAGCAGGATTGTAGGGTACCATTTCTGCAAAGAATTAATAGAGGGAGGACTTGTGTCCAGGAAATCTGCCTAAGAGGCATGTGGTAGGTTGGGCTCTGAAGCCTGATCAGACCAGAGATAATTGAAGGGCACAGGGGGCTGCCAAGGTGCATTCCCAAGACAACAGCCTGGTTGAATACATAGCTGGAACAGTGCTGTTTCACGTGCATTGTGCCTTCTGATAAATTGTCTGCCCGATGCATGAACTGAGCAGTACTGTCTTCATCTCTTCTGAAAACCCATAATGCAATATTTAAGAACTGATGCAGCATGTTCTTTCACTGACTAGACTCCTTATTAAGAAGGCTTGCCACCAATTACGGTAACACTGTATGCAGCAGACAGATTTCTGCAGTAGTTTGTAATAGCATTGATTGAGCTTTCAGGCTTTATAGATACTATTGCTTATCCCCCCAGCAACATTGAATTCTTTACTGATTGTCTGTCTGGAACAAAACAAAATAAAATCTGGGGTTATGTCTGTTCTTGCTCCAAGTTATTGTAAGGAGAAAAAAGAATTGAATTAAATTTGGTCATGTTCAGGCAGTACTGGGAAAGAGCCCAGTATTTTTTTAGTAAAGTAGAAAAATCAGTCATGCATTTAATGATTTGTTTGCAAGTCAGACTTATGTCAAGGCATTATGTTTCTGTGTTATCAACTTCTGAACTTATTTTAAAATTCATAGTTTCTAGGGATTTTTAAATTTGGCAGAAAGGTAAAGGCTTTTGAAGTAAGCCAAAGGTAGATTGCCAGTATGGATAAGCTGGTGTTTTGTTTAGCTGTGTGCAGTCACCAGTGCAGTGGATGCTCAAGTTGAGTAACTCCAGTGGAAATGTTATGATCGCTGATCAGATTGTCAGTTCCAGCACCTTTTGTTTCAGCAGTATGTTCTCAATTGTTTATTCCTCTAGAATAAACTCTCAACGTCACCTTCTGAACACAACGGGGGTAGTTGCTGAGAAGAGCCCTCATCAGCACATTGCTCTTGCTGCCTAAGTTGTCTTAGTGTGCTTGGGATAGCACAAAACAGCCTTTCCACCATTTCTGTGCTTATGCAGATAAATGGAAACCCAGAAGCTCAGCAAAATGCACCCACAGTGACCTGGCCTCTTCTCAGCTGTCACACAGGGGAGAATTAGCTTGGTGCTGGGAAAACTTTGAGAGCCGCTGCGAAGAGCTCACTGTGGTTCCTTCCTTGGTTGCTGAGAGGAAACTTCTATCTAAGACTATTGTTATTTCCTACTCCCCCTAGACACACTGCAAACAACTTGTGACTGCATTTGCCTGGTGTAGGAGAGCCAGTCCTTCAGCAGTGAGGACAGGATGAGCAGCTAAGGAGTATGTTTGTTAAATCCCATCCTCTCAAAAAGAACTGGAGAAACTACCTAATGGCATTTTGAACACCTCTGGGTACCTCTTCCCAAACCTCCTTGTTGGGTGGCAGGATTTTGTTCACAGCAGTGCTTCTGCAGAGCTTCCAGCTGTGCTGGGCCAGGTAACCTGCTCCTCAGTGCTGAGCAGCCTCAGCTGCTGCCCTCTCCCACCCTGTACAGCTTCTGCAGGGCTGCATAGCTGTATATGAACCACAGCTTGCACCCTGGGCTGGACTGCTGTCCCAGCTGCAGCTGACTGCTTGCAGGGATGATTCTCATGGCAGTTGGTGGAGGTTTCTGAAAACAACAGAAGCAAAAACAGTTTAGTAAGCTATTTATGTATTGTATACACTCAGGTAATACTACGTAGGTACTATTAAATGCAAGACACTTTCTCCACTCTCTCTGTACATATAGATGGTCCTGCAGGATAATGATGTCTATTCCAAAGTAATAGAAAAGCTGGGCTCAGGAGAAACGGATTTAAGGCTCTGCTGGCTCCTGAACTTAATTAGTTTATGGGGGGTTTATTTTATTTTATAGCACATGCCAGTACAAAAGAACCTGCATTTGGAATCATAGAATCTTTTAGGTTTGAAAAGACCTTTAAGATTATAGAGACCAACTGTTAACCCAGCACTGCTGAGACCATCACTAAACCATGTCCCTAAGTGCCACATCTACACATGTTTTAAATACTCCCAGGGATGGTGACTCAACCACTTCCCTGGGCAGCCCAATGCTTGACAACCCTTTTGGTGAAGAAATTTTTTCTAATATCT